TATTTTCTTTTTGTCTAGAGTGTAACATGAGCAATACTTTTGTTATTTCGCACATGAAGAAAAGAATAGAACCTCATTTGGGCATTTTCACTGAATTGAAGGACAATAAGGGTATAGACCACATTGATAATTACTCTCTCCCTGTTAACAATTGAAACAGATCATACGAACAGGTCATGGTTGAAAGCATTAAGGAAAAGAATGAAAAGTCTGTAGTAAAGGTAGTAAATGTAATTTTAAAGAAGGAGGTGGATATTGATAATTAAAATAGGAATACATTTTGGAGGACATGAAAACCAAGTAAGATGTTTAGAGATGGGCAAGAATATTGTTAACATTAGGTTGTCTTATCCAGGGGCAGATCACAAGTATATGGAATCAAAAAATGATTTTGTTCAGTATTGAAATTAATACTAGCAAAACTTAAAGAAACAAATTGAGATGGAGATAAATTATAGATGATTTTGATAGAGAAAAGAATGAGCAATTCTCAGTGTGTGCAGCAGGAGCACTGTGTCTACAACACTTTTACCGGTTAATTTTTACTATGATTCAGTCATGCGCATTCAATTTCATGCATTTCTTATCTCCTTTCATCCAAATTTTGAATGCTCAATGATATACATACTGATAGAACAGCAATTTTACGGGTAAAATATTTTCATTATAAAGAAGGTATATTGTTAAAATAGATCATGAATTTGAACTAGCATAGTAGGACATTGAAGTTAATATTTTTGATTATTTCATTTTTCTGGTCTACAGTACAAAATAGGAAAGCAACATGGAGTCTGTGAACATTCCTAAAACGTAACAAAAGTAAGATTTTGAAGAGCTTACTTTGCTATGCGTAGGAGGATCTGTAGGCTCAATGAAGAGACCAGAAATAGTCATGGTAATAGCAACTTAGAATAGTGGGAGGGTTATTGGAAGTTTATGGTGCTTCCAGAGATATTTCACAGGAGGAAATGCATAACTTTTATAACCTTACGTCACTCTCATTCACCTGAATTTGAAATCCCCATTCTCCCTCCCTTCCCTCTGTCCATTTGAAATTCACATTGTTATTTTCTTTTTCACATTTTGCTGTATATTTGGAATGATTTCCAGAAGCAAATTAATTTCAAAGTTCTGCTCCCAAAACCACCCTTCCTTTAAGCCTTCTGAGATTTTAAGTTCCTCAGGGGCATGATATGTTAGGTCATATTCGATTTCTTAGACTGTAACTAGCACAAAGGAAAACAAAATTTCTTTCATTCAAATATATTTCATTTTAGTTTGTTGCTATGTTCCAAGTATCACTAGTTGTTGGGTATACTGATATGACATATATAAATCCACAGCAATTAGTATAAAACTAACGAATGTTAATGTTAGTTTTATCACTATGTTTCTTTAAATGTACAAAAGCTATAACATTAACATTTTATATGCTATTCAAAGTCTAAGGCTACTTGCTCAACCTGTAAGGCAGCTGCAACAAAGGAATAATTGTTTCTATTTCTATACACTGGTAAATTTTTCATAGGAATATCCCATTTAGGGAACAGAATTGTTGTTTGATTTTGTGTGAAACCTGTTAATATTCATTTCTGGGTTTCTTGTTTATTTGATTTCATAAATTCCTGTATGTGTGAACTTTTTGTCCCTTTAAAAATTACCATGTCTTACCATTTCTGAATCATGCAACATGTAGAGAGCAGCCATACCAGTAATCTCTCAAAGGTGCACTGTCCTCATACTGCTTTTTTATGCTCCTCTCTGGGAAAAAAGTGTATTTATTCTGTCCAAGAACCCATGAGATATGAGAAGTACTCTTTGTTCACACTCGTGGTAGACAGTCATTTTAAAACTTCAATTACTATTTCAGCATGCTCCCTCCATAACTCTTTCTAGCACCACAGCTAGTAATTTCTAGCAGTAAAACATATTTTATAATCTATACACAGCCGTATCTTGAAAGCAATGATCAAACAAAACAATACATATGTGATTAATATCTCCCAAAGTGATATAAAACTAGATGAAATCACATCAACATATGAATTTTGAATGTTCAGTTTTTGTAACTCAGATAGTGAGAAGTGAACACCCAAATACATTTATAAAACTGCTATCTATATAAAAATCTAATAAAAGTAACAACCATACCTTAACTAACATTTCTTTTTTTTTTTTTAACTAACATTTCTTAAGATTGAAAGCGTCAAAAAGCTCTTCTTCGTGCCATACAGTTTTGAAAATTAAGATGATAATGTTGAATATTGTTTCTGTCTCTGCATAACTTACTATCACATGTCTGGTCCATTGTTTGGTCTTCAATAAAGAAAATGGTTTATAGTCCCAATCTTACTGTCCAAAGACCTTAAATTCTACAATCTGGCTTTTTTTGCATGAGATTTCTCCCCGCTCCCATGTTAACATTAATCGCTTTTTCTTGACTACATCATCTACTTTAATTGTTTCTAAACAAAAATATACACATAATTTATGTAACATCTAAGTAAGATACTTGGACCATATCATTATGAAGTCACGATGTTAAGCTACATTGTCCTTTCTTGCTGTAATTGTATCTTGAGTGGTAAGCCCCAAAAGATATCAGTGCAGTGCAGTTTATTGTCAGGATATTGATGAAAGTGTCCCTTGCAAAACACAGTACTCAGTGTCTACTTCATTAAAAATATTTAAGATACTCTATGTGTAACAGTCAGAGAAAGTCTAATTTGCTTGTGTCATTGGTCTGCTTTAATCCTATAGACAATGCTTTTTGTGTGATACAGTAGAGGATTTTTATATGTTAGACAGCTATACTATTTAAATCTAACATTTAAAACATTTACACAATTGCATGGAATGTTTTGTCGAGAATTGTGTAACTTTTATCTCACCTTTTTGTCACTTAAATTTTACTCAGTATTTTAATATTATTGTCTTGTACGTCATCATGTAAGCATTTAAAAAAAGAATGGTGATGAATAAACATCTACATATGACAAAAACTTTCACTGGGACCTGAGAGTTCTCTCTCTTTTTCCTACTCGGAGAGTTGTCTTTGCCAAGAAAGCAAGAGTATCTCTTGCATGCATTTTATCATTTTCTCTTCCTTCTTTAATGTTCTGAAATCTGGCTTCTCCTCCCCAATTTATGAAGTATTTTTGAAAAGACTTTGCCATTTTCCAGCTATTTGAGTTTGGAGAAGTGACTGGATCGCTCTGTGCCTTATGTTCTTCGTTTCTAAGATGGAAATAATAATGTCTCTTTTGGTTTATTTTGAGAATTAAATGAGACAAAGTATAAGCGCTGGTTCGCATAATGCCTGGCACATAGGAAGTGTTTAAAAACCTGTGCCAGCGATGACAATGTTGTAGTAACTGTGGATACTTTCCCACTTAGCTCCATTTTCAGTTCTTTCATGTTTATTAACAGCACAAGGCTTTTCTACTCGCACACACTTGCGCATCATGTTTGACTAGCTGTCACTTTCGTCTTCTATATCCAGCCTGTCACGAAACACTGTGTCTTTTCTCCTTTATGGCATCTTTCAGACCTGCTCCTTCTCTAGTCCCCTGACATCATTCCTGTCCTGTCTTTGAAGAGTGTGGGGACTGCGTGAAAAGTTTCCAGGGAGAGGAAGAGCTGGAGGAACCCAAGGAATGCTGAAAGCCATTATTAAAGGAACATCTCCACCCCCATCAGCAAATCAGCTTCATTAAGTTTAAAAAGAAAGAGCCTCATTTTGATACATATGACAATAATTTATTTGAAGAAATGTGGTGGGAGTGGAAGCGAGGGGCAGGGAGAGAAGATTTTCACGGTTAGCAAGTCGAATTTAACAAAGAGAAAAATGAGCAGATGGCAGAGAGGCAGTCAGGAGGTGAGGAAAGAGTGCCACAGCACAGAAGCCAAGAAGAGGTGTACCGCTGTTCAGTCCTGTGCAGACCTTGTGTCCATGAAGTCATAATTATTTCAATGCTCTGTTACAAGTCAGCAACTGATGTTTAAATTTGAGAAATAGCTTTTAATTCTACTGGCAGGATTACAAGTCCTTGCTCCCGGGAATGACTCTGTTCTCACATGTTCTTGCAAAGCTCGATGCTTATGTCTAATGATCTTGGCGTATGACTTTTGTATTAACTGACAATTACAGTTTTGATACTGTGAAGAATTGCCATATAATCAGGTATCCTTTTACTGAGAATCATTTAACTGAATTCAATGCCTGGTGAAACGTATCTATGTTAATTAGAACTTTTTTTTTTTACAGATTGAAATAATCAGCTTGAGCTGGTATTATTTTAACTCCTTCCTGGTTCCTCTTTCAAGGAATTAAAATTTCACTTCTCTTTAATAAGATTTTTATCTGCATTAAGTTTTCCCTGAGTCAAGTTCTTACATCATCTATGCATACTTGGTGTATAACTACTAATGGTATGTACACCCCTAGATTTCACTGGTTTCCCCCATTTTAACTAATTACAGAACCTGGATTTCACTTCCTGCTGCCATCAACATCACCATCACTGAGCACACAGCCAGTTAAAATGACAAATTGGACAAGTCAAGTTAGAAATATGGATTAAAAATGCTTATCAGCATTTATAAAGGGAGGGTAATTGTGATTTTTTGCTTTAAAAGGTCAGATACATTTCAGTGTCTTTTGTCCCCTATCAAATGACTTTGATTAGATATTCTATGGATTCCCAATCCAGCAGTTTACAGACTTTTTAGCAGATATTGTTCAATGCATGTTAAGTGATTTGTGAAGATACCAGCTCACAGATTTAATTGACTCATGACAGAGATTGCAATAATTATGAGTTCATTGAGACAAGCTATGAGTAGAATTGAACAGAGGTACACCTTATCTTGGCTTTTGTGTTGTTACACTTTTTTCCCACCTTCTGAGTGCCTCTTTGCTAACATTAACATTCAACGAACACATTTAAAACTATCACAAAATGTTCAGAGAGCATTTTTATTTGAAAACTTTGCTTTACCTTTGCAGACGGGCCTGTGGTCACTCCAAGCAGCAAAGACTTCAGCTATCCTCTGGCAAGTTATGCTTTTTGCACCCTGTAGAACATAATCTTCATCACAAGAGAACTGCACAGTGGATCCAAGGCTAAAATTGAAAAATAGAATTTAAAATATGATTAGAAAATATAAAGGTTAAGCTCTATACTTTCTGGCAACATCAAAGACATCAACAATGTGCCACAGTGACAGAAGATAGCTGAGAAAGCAGCACGTGAACATATGACTTGTGCACACAATTAATCAGAAACGAATCAGACGGAAGTCGATATATACACATCCTAATGGGAATTGTAGAAATGTAAAACTTGCGCCAAGTTTACATATTTCATTTTGAGACACTAGAGTTGAATAATTTACTAAATCTATCATCCGATATAAGAGATAAAGGTGAACAGAAAGGGGATATTTTGACTTTAATCCCAGCTTTGGCTGCATATTATGTCACAGTCTTCTGCAGACTGTATTTACATGTGTGGCTATTTAGAAATGGTCTTTGAATATCCATGTGTATTTATAACTACGTACTTATTTAGGATTTTTATATAGAGGTCATGCTACATTTGGTGATTTAAAATTCACTTATTGTTTACTTATTAACCTTTTGCAGTTTAGGTTATTTGTCCTATTGCAATTGAGAATTATTTCTTCTACAAGTTGCTAAAGTTACCATACTTTAAAAAAAAACAACTTGAATTCAAAATGTAATAGATACTTTTCGGAATAAAAGCCTTGTGTTTTCTATAAGTTCTTAAATAATAACTCATCAGCATATATACATACATACATACACTCATACATACATAGAGTCTATGTTGTCTAATGTGGTCTGTGGTGTAAGCTAAAGATGAACAAAGAGCTGACATAAAGAAGGGTGTCATGAAGGACACTGGGGTTAGCATGGGGAAAAGTCTCTGGAATCAAGTCATTTCTGGAATCATGCTCTTTTTAAGTTTCTTTACTCTCTTTTTAAATAGTAGCTTCATATCAGGCATTAAATGCATTTAGACAAGTGTGGAAAATCAAAGTGAAAAACAAAATGAGTTATTTTAAGTGTTCATTAAGCTGAACTACACATAAAATAAATAAAGAAAGAATTTTTTAGGATCTGGGACCTCTAAATGACTTTGCTTTATTTTGACTACCTAAGAGCATAAAGCAACTTAGACATTTACACAGTGGCTAACTCTCTGCCTTTTGTTTGTGCCCAATCTTAAATAATGGATTTTTAAAATTTTTGTAACTGCTAGGGTTGAAAACATTGGAGTCAATTAAACAAAAATGTTTAGACAGAAAATTTTATGTATCATATATATCGTGAGCTTTGAAGTATGTATGTATTATGGGGTGACTAGCTAACTAGCAAATGCACTGTAACATAGTTATGTTGACTGCTTTTTTCCTCAGCATTTCACCTCTATCCCATCAAGTAAAGCCTCTAAGCAACATTTGCAAAATCCAGAGTCTAGCATTTTTTACTCCTACATTGTCGCTAACTGAGCCTCCATTATTTCTCATCTGTACTACTGTCATAATCCATATCACTATGCTCTTAGCCTTTCCTATTTCTCTTGATTCTTCTTCGTTGTCTATCCTTATGTTTCCTTGTTTCTCAGAATAAATGGAGTACTCTTATCATCATCTGTGCAAAATGGCCCATGCCAAATTTTTTTCTTCTTAATTTATAATACAAGACACACTGCAATTAAGTCTCACTGACTGGGTCCCCCTTGCTTCCAGCATACATATCCCATTGCTCTTGTCATATGTGTTTTAAAATGTTTTCATTGGTATGTTAGTGACACATAATAAATGTATTCATTGTGATGTGCTGGTACACACACATATGGCATCTTTTCCCGTTTGCTTCCAACTTCTCCTCCCCCTCTTCCGCTCTCACTCTATGCTCTGATCACCCTTCTCCTGTCTCTTCAAATTCTCAGCTAACTTTCAGAGCACATTTACTATGCCTTCTCCTTCTTTCTGTAGTCTTGTTTTTTTTGCCCAGGATTGACCTCACGACCTTGCATTTGCCAGGCAGGTGCTTCTGCCGCTGGGCTAAATCCCCAGCCTCCTTCTCTACTCTTTAGTCACTTTCTCCCCTTTCTAATTGGAACATATGAACTACGCAGCTGCCTCAGTGTCTTTGCATTTGCTGTTATTTCAGTCTGGAAATTCTTTACTTTACTTCAGAAGTGCGTACATAAACATTTTTAATTGTTCCCTTCACATTCATTGTAGTCATAAGGCTCTCCTTCACCAACATGTATAAAATGGTTAATTACTATAATCTCTGAAAACTCTATTTAGTATATACTTCCCGATGGATTGTATGTTTGTGTATTTTTGTCTTTCGCATAGAAAAATTTCAATTAACTTATTTATTTTTTTCTAACTTGTAAAACATTTCATAGATTACAGTTAAACTGATAGATAATAGATAGACAGATAGATAGATATATAGATAGATAGATATACATAAATGAGACAAATTTACTAACAAATAAGATTTAGCTCGAATATAACTAGGCATAAAAACCATAGATCAAAAAATGCCAGCCCTAATAATCCTTCCTTTGCTTTATCTGCTGTCACGATTCTCTTGTTTGGTGACTATACAAATATTAAATGAAGAAGAAATATATAGAATATATAGAAAATTAATACATGGAGGCACTGAGAAGTTTAGATAAATTAGTAACAACTTTAGAGACTATGGGCAGGTTTTATAGGGCTGTAAATCAAGTGAATGACCTGATACTCGTGTTTTAAAGTGATCCTATCGGCTTCTGATTAAGAATTGCTCTACCTATTTGACTTTAAATCTTAATCTTCACAATTTACATTTAAATTTTGGTGAAACTTGTTATCCATTGATTGGTTGGAATTCTCCAAATTTCATTGTCTTTCATATCTTCATTGATACACATCAGATACTGCATTCATCATTAAAACATACAATGCCCCAGGAATTTCAACTTTCCTCATTTGAAACAAGATAGAAGAAACAAAGTTAAGTAGACAGGAGAGGAGGAAATGGTAACTTTAATGTATGGTCAAGAATATCCAAGGTAACTCATTCATTTCTTTTCTAGGCCTTTTATTCCCCCCAGGACAATCACTCTCAAATCCCTAAGAATCTTAGATACTAAAAGTCCATAAACTAATCTAGTCGAGAAACTAAAGGGTCACAACCTGGTCTAGAAACAGAAGCAAATTCAAACTATTTAAATAATGTTATAAGCAAAAAATGTTAGATCTTCCCTCTTAGAGGACCTCCACAACCACATGCATCCATCTCTAGACCACAGTATATCTCACCCTTACGTACTTGCACCCTTTTTTGAGTGCAGGTTTTTTTAATCCAATACATTGGCCTATATCTCTCACTAATATATCCTACTATTCCTTTTGTTGAGGTTCTTCTCTCTTTAGAGGGACTTCTTTAGAAACCAATTTGATGATCATTTTACATAAATATCACTAAGACAGGGTTCAACAGAAACCCTGCTTGCCCACTGTTATTGGGGGAGTCTTTGTGTAGCTTCACTATGGGGAGAAGTGCCACCATGCCCCTGTGCACCGACCATCATTGGGGAGCCTCAGTATAACTGCATGGAGAAATCTTCCCTGAAATCCATTCCCTCCCTAGGAACCTAGTTTCTGAAAAACCTATGTGCCTCACACATTCCCCTACACTGCAGAGGGGCAGTCAGTGCAAGAAATGCTTTAGAACCATCAAATGTCTTGTTTGGAGGAACCCTGGAAAATGTCAAGATGAAGGAGCAAAATGATATCTCAGACCTCCAACCCACACAGAACAAGTCCAGGAGATATAGACATAGAAGAAACTGGAAGAGGCCAAATGAAATTTCTGGCAATGATAGAAAGTGAAGTAAAAAACAACTTCATGAGGCTGTAAAAGTAATCAGATCAGAAACATATCTCAGGTAAAACAACCAATGGCAACCATAATGAAAAACTGTTGAGTATATTTAAAGAAGACATGGATTAAAAAAAAGAGAAGCATAGGAAAATGATGGGGACCTGAAACGAACAATATAGAAAAGCATTAGAATGCTCTAAATAGATTCAAAGAGATCCAGGAAAATACAGTATCTACTGAAAGCTAACAAAACCACTTGAATAAAACCGGAGCTAGATTTTCAGACATGGATGATAGGATGACAGCCAGTAATGGTGAAAGGAAAGATATTTTAAAAATAACAAGGGATCAGAAAAAACCAACAGTTGCAAGGCAATTCAATGAAAAATAATAAAAGATGGATAGGTGTCAGCAAAAAATCAAGGGTCAACACAAATGACATGAAAGGACTATTTACAGAAATGATAGCAGAAAGCTTCCCAAGCTTGGGAAATGGACCTGACACACAGATAAAAGAGACATGTAAAAACTCTAACTAGGCATAACCAAAATAAAGCTACACACAGACTTGTAATAATCAAGATCCCAGAAAATCAACAAAAGGCAGAATATTAATAGCTGTCAGAGAAAAAAAAATATTACCTATAAAGGAAAACCCATTGTAATCATGACAGACTTCTCAACACAAACCATCAGGTCAAAAAACAGTGAAGAATTTCAAGTCCTGAAAGAAAAGAACTTCCAACCCAGATTGATGTACACTGGAAAACTATCTTTTAAATTAATGGAGAAATAAGATATTTCCATGACAAAGAACAACTGAAAAAATTCATGACCTCCAAACCAACCCTACAAAACATACTGAAAGATATTCCACAATTCCAGAATCAACAACACCAAGCAGGGAAATCTATTAAACAGAGGGGAAAAATCACGGAACCAAGAGCAGGAAAATAACATGAGAAGGACAAGCTGGTATGTATCAATCATAACACTGATGTAAATGGCCTCAATTCATCAATAAAAGAAACACAGACGGAATGGATCAAGAAATAAAATACATCAATATTCTGTATACAAGAAACACATTTAACTCAAAAGAAAATTCATAGACTGAAAGTCAAATGAGAGAAAACAATTTCCATCTAATAGCAACCCAGAAAAAAAACAGGGATAGCCTGCCCATCAACCTCGGATGTATA